CCCTGCTGCCTGCCTGTTCCTCTGGTCCCGCAGCGCTGCTGCAGGAGGGCTCAGCTGTTTGCACAGTGACTGCTAAGGTCTGCAGCTCGGGTATTAAGGTAACCTGAAATTGGAACTGCTTTACCTTACCACTGAGCTGTGCCTTGTGGTTCAACAGCTGCCACGGGAGCAGCTGATCTGCCCTCTAAATAAAGGCAGAGGGGACAGAAGCCACTGCAGCTGCCCCAAGGTGAGCCGCCCTGATGGAGACCACAAACCCGGAGAGCTTTCCTATGTGCACAGTCCACACTACTGTCATGGATGCAAAAAATGACAGGGGAACATGCTCTTTCACTGTGGCAGTATCCTGAGTGTACTTGGGCAGATTCCCACTGGTGTAAGCTCAGACAGACATCCCTCTGGTGGGCTCTAAAGGGGTGTTTGTTATCGCACCAGTTTAGAAATAACAGCTTTTAATTAAACCACTGTAGATGCTGCGTTTGTGTCAGAGAAGCCTGGACGCTACCAGAACTGACCAAGCCCAGGCCCCGGTCTTGTGCTGTTGCTGTTTGTGGCCCTCCCTTTTAGTAGGGGCACAGCACCTACATGTGTGTCTGCACTGCACCACAGCACAGCACAGCCAGGATGGCAGCCGGGCTGCAAGGCGGTTCGCAGGAGGCAGATGGCTGGTACAGCAGGGGCTGCTCGGGTTTGCTGCATAAGAAGTACAGCTGGAGCCACTGAAGATGTGCCCAGGGGCAGCTGCAGCAGCAGGCTGCCACTGCCAGCTTTGGCCAGGAAGCCAAAGGCATTCAGAGTGGTTTGAAACGGGATTATCAAGGGGACTGCACGCACCTTACCTGCTCCTGCGTGCACATTTGAGATACTGCTGGTTTTCTCTGAACTGTATTTGAGGATAAGACACTATGCAGAGTTGGCTGTGAACTTTTATTAGTATCGCATGGAAATCTGTACTCCAGAGAAGACAAACACGAGGCTGTGCACATACCTACAGAGTCCAGGGAAACAACACAAGCTTTGTAGACTTCTCCTTTGCAGCAGTTGAGTGCCTGATGTTCATCTTAAGCTTTTCTCCTATGCAAGATCACCTCAAGTTTCCACGCATTGTTAGTGATTCCACTGAATGACTCCAAATACTAAAACCCCTCAAGTTCTAGTCAGTGCTGTTTATCTGGCTGGACTGTAGGAAGGCGGAAGGTGACCTGCTGATGGGCGCACCAGAGCAGGCGTGTCTGACGCTCTGCGCTGACGCCTCTCAGCAGTGCCGAGAATGCCAGTACCTGCACAGGCTACTCCTTGTTCACCCAAACAAGCGGCTCAGTTCAAGCTGTATGCATGAACGCGTCCTTCTCACAAGCACAGTCCCAGGTACCACAGTTAAATAAGGTCATGGCTTTGAGACCTGCAGAAGCTTCAGCAGAAGAGCAGCGTTAAACGCAGCGACGGGAGCAGCACCGAGGTGTCGGGGGCGAGGGTGGAGGCGACGGCGATAACCTGTGTAACCAGAGGTGCTTCTTCTCCAGGTGACCTGCAGAGCTCGGCAGAACAGTCTGAGGGGAGGCACCGGGGTGGAACAGGAGAGCATCGTTCAGCCTGGCCACGTTCCGTCCTGCTTAGCCATTCCTTTGGCTTGGGAAGACTTCAGCTGGCACTCTCATTCTCCCCCAAAACAGGGCATCTCAAGGACAGAGTAAGGGCTCAAATGCTCTGCTAATATTGTCAAGGTTTTACAACTAAAGACAACCAAAATAATACTGTAAGTTGAGGCAAGTTTTATTTAGACTGTACAAACAGGGCACTGGGGAAAAAAAAAAACGTGGCTTGATGTTGGGACCAGTTCTATGACTTAAGTGGAGTAAGAAATTAAAAAGGCACTAATCTTAAGAAAAGACACTCCGTATCTTCTAAGAATATAATTCATTTAATACCGTTAATCTTATAGCACAAAAAATAAAACAAGCTATGATCCCCAAAATAAACTTTAAAAGCTTACACTTTAATATTATTGCCTGAAGATCATGGTCTTTAAATTACATATTGTGTTTTAATGTTTACACAGTGAAAACTGTCTCAAATACAAGGCCACCTTTCCCACTGCAGTAATTGTATCCTTGTCCCAAAACACACTTTTATTTAACACAAGTAAACAGAAAATGACAGCTATACAAGAATGCTCTCACTGGTCCCAAAAGGCAGTCTCTTTTAGGCAGGTCTCACTTTCAAATGCAGGTATTGGGGGAAATGCTTGAAAACTTCACTAGAAAATAAAGGCAGCCCACTCGTTCCCAGGATGTTAATACAATATAAAAAAATTACTTTACAGGCACATGAAATGGCACAAAGAATGCTGTTTTTCCCTTTACAAAAATAATGCTCAGGCTCTTCAGAGCCCCAACCCAAACAGGATATTCCCTTTTGTTTCTTCTTTCCCAATTTGTAAACAATCATGAATTAAATTAGCGCTTATCCAGTGATGGACACTGATTAAAACAGTTTTCATTTAAACTTTCAGACTGGTCAGAGGCTTCGATGTCTATATACACTGTACACACAAGGAGGAAGTCCAGCAGTGAGCCTTTTGTGACGGGCAACTACTGTGGCCCCAGGCAGTGACACCAGCTCCTAGTTCAAAGGCAGGAGCAGCGTCAGTGGTGCGCAGACTGAGGCCATCGCTTGCAGGCTCTCAGGCGTCACAGTAAGTACACCTGACGTGCCCCAGAGGAGACACACTGGGAGGTCATCACTCAGATCTGAGAGGCTTCAGTAAAGCAACGGACAGCACACACGTAAGCAAGCAACAAGTGCTTGAGAATCCAGAGTCCTTCAAAGAAAAAACGCTAATTGATCAAATGCAGTCTTTATAGGAAAATACTTGTCTTATAGGAAAATAGCAGACATGTTTTGAAGCAAGGTTACAGTCAGCTTGGGCTGGCCAGTATGCTACATCTAAACCACATTTAACATACCTGAACCACACCGCTGCTACTCAGAGAAACACTGCTCATCCACGGCCCAAAACCAGGTTCACAGGGGTTTCAGAATTCTTGGCTTTGCATCAGATGCCACTACACACAAATTTTGCATAGTTTTGAAGGTAAAATATTTTGCTTTTCCACAGCATCAGAACATAATTTAACCTAAAACAATGTTTGCATTCAAAGTGTATACATAAGTCAATGAGGGCATGAGTCAAGACATTTATTTCAGTGAAAAAAAAAAAATCCAGGTTAAAAGCTGTGTTCATATCTCAAATCTCACAGTATTTATTTACCATGCAAAGGAAAAATTTGACAATCAGTCTTCTGAAGAGCTGCCTGTAACTAGGTCAGGTCTGAAGATTTCTCTGCAGCAGACTGAGTTTAGTGCAGTTTCTATATTCAAAAGATGACTTTCAGTAGTACAATCTGTGTAGTAAACTCACAAGTACAGCTGGGGGACAGGAAAAGTGTGACCTCCTTTAGTTCCGAGAGCTGCATAGCTTGTCTTTGCAAGACAAAATGTCAATGCCTATTGTCAAGGATTACAGCACCAAACATTTCAGTCAATGCTACTCTACTTCACAGTTAATTTGGTAGTAAAATGCTCTACAAGAACTTCTAGACTGTCCACCACTTGATCAGCATTACAGAAAACAGCTAACAGATGAGCTTTAGAGAGACTTCTTTAAGACCGACCGGCGTGTTGACCCTCTCGCTGCGAATGCCACGTTTGCATTTCTTCAGTGCCTCCCATTGAAGGACCTCAGGGCACTTCCACACAGCCAAGAACAACGTACTTTTATTAGGATCAAGCAACACAAATCAACAACAAAACATGCTGAAACTTACGACAACAGCTGTTCTGTAATTTGCCATTTGTAAGAACTGGTGAGATTCTGCAGGTATCTGAGGTTTCTCATTTTGCTACAACTGACAGCCTTTAAAAGTTGAAAAATGGAGGCTGCTGTTTTCCCATCAGCTTCCACAACAGACATTTTCCTTTAACCAGGCTGTCTGAAAAGGGACGTTTTGTAGTTGTAGTCTTTGCAGTTGTGCATTCTGTTAATTGAGTGTTCCACTAGTTCTAAAGGAGCATTCCAGTTCACCTACAAACCACATTCAAAGGCGGTGGCAGAGGGCACTGCTGTAGCTAAACTTTCATATCCTGCACACAGGCTGAGGACTTCACCTGCAGGGCCTGAGCTGCACTTAGCTAACTGCAGCTGTGTACAGTTCCTTACTGGAAGTACAATTACAGCAGTGTAGCTTACAAACAGAAAAAGGGAAAGAAGCTCTACTGATAATAGACACCTTTGTGGCCTCCTCCAGCCCGAGCAGTAATTTATCACATGGGGAAACCCAGGCAGCTGACTCCAATTAACCATTTTCTAGAGGATGCTGGGAGGGGGAGGGACCTGGGGCATATAAAAACCAAAGCCAGCTTGTTTGGAAGGGAAAAAGAAGATGGCAGCATGCATAGGACTTAGGAAGCAAGCAAGGAATAAAGAGAGTGGAGGGAAAAAAAAGATGATGGAAGCAGCTCTGCAAAAGAAGCACAGCAGCATGAAGATGCTCTAGGAAAAAAGGTACTGTGTTTGAAAAGGAGCTTTCAGCAAGCTGGGGCTGGTATAGCTAGGAAACTTCAGAGAGATAAGGGAGCCTGCAGAGAAATAGGTATAAAGGGTGTATGTTTAAATAAGATGATTTTATCAGTATTTACCAAATTCTTTTGTCTCACTCCTTTCCTACCTCTCCACACCACAGCAATCTGATCAGTCTGTCTACCAAGTGACAGCCTGGTGACGAGCACTTCTCTACTAGTAGAACTACCCTTTCCACACTACAGGAGAGCTGTATGTAGACCAGGCCAAAGTGTTTCCCTTTAAAGCTTGCTTTCTACAGTTAGTGCTTGCAAAAATCAACAGAAATGCGTTAGGTATGTCAAAACAAGTTACAAGTATCAACCCCTCCTAAGTTTCCTTATAAATAAATGCCTCAGCTTCAATGCAGCTCAATCCACTGTTATTTGCATTTAACACACATTGTTTCAGGAAGGTCAACAACAAGCTTAAGAGGTGACAGAAAAAGCAGTTTCTAATACAACTGCTTAGAATACACAAGCTTCAATTATTGTCCTTTAAAGAGACCATCATTTTAAATGTACTACCTTAGGACAGGCTCTCTTAAAACTACATCATCTTCAGTCCTAAAATTGCATTTTTGTTGTTGCTTTTTCTCGGACAGTAATGCACAAGTTACATGTTTGATCTAAGATTAGGGCTCTTCCTACTGAGCAAGCCAGAAGAAGTCCATAAAGTCTCAATAGGAAAGGCTTTCTTCCCATACTTCTCTGCTATAGACTGGTTCAGTCTTCTCCAGCTTAAGGCCCAATAAAGTTTTAAAAGAGAAGCTAAATTCTGGATGACGCAACTATGGTATGAAGGTCGGGCAGTGGCTTCAGTTGTATGTATTCCAAACGTATATTCAAAGAACCGTCAAACTGCAGCAAGCTGGAAAAATGGGCAATGCTAGCAATGTGCCATTAAGTCATCATCCCACCTCAAACAATGCTAATGACAGCCAGGAAACTGAAGCAGCAGTGTAAATCAGGCAGAGGGAATCATTCGTTCTCATCTGGGTTTTGAGGGTCAAATATTTTGACATGTGTGAATGGGAAGAGCCCTTTTCGACCGTTGACTTCTCCTTCCCATTGACCATTTATATTCATCCTTGTAACCTTCACAATATCTCCAACCTGCATAATTTAAAAAAAAAAGTTATCACACATGGGAATCTCACTTCTGATACAGGTACAGATCAAACAAAAAGGAACAACAAATACAAGACCATCAAAGGGAAAAGCCCCCACTCTCTTCTTGCCATAAGGTTCAATTGAAAACTTAATTGTACTTATGTAAAACTGTAAAACAAATGTTTTGTTGTTGAGTGTGATAATGCTGTCTGCACTCTTTTTTTTTTTTTTAGACTTTTAACTAAATGTACATCTACTTATTCAGACAAATTGCTTAACTACCCCTTTTCCTGTAGGAAAGCATGCAGCTTCATGCCTAAAGTCACATCACTAATGCTTCCACCAGTAAGGAGCTGCAACATCCCTTAAGAGGAGTGCAGTACTCGTAACTCCTCTGAGCATCAGCTGCCTTATTTCAAAGGAAATTTAGATTTTCAGAGATTCCTATAGCAAAGGAAGCACTACATGAAGTTCTAGTTCCAATTATCACACTCTAAGAAGCTTCTGTAGCTTCCAAAATGGCACACTTTCAAAGCAGGCAAAAGTAATCTCAGTATTTTAAGTATCAGATGTACAGATTCTAGCTTTATTTGTTGCTTTCACCTCTATTTCCTGCCAAAGAATTTGAAACCCGACTGATGCCACTGTAACTGTGTCTCTTCCTATTTAGTGGTGAAAGATGAGAAGAGCTAAACTATGATCAAGTAAGAAACATCAGCCCAAATAATAAGTTATACTCTTATTGTTGCCTAACGGCTGTATTTAATTTGGGTTTAGGTTAATTTACAAAGCAAAACATCCAATGTGAGCAGTGTTAAAGACTAGGCTAAACAGTAATTTCTCCCTTCAGTGCTTCACAATAACTGAGCATGTGGTCTGTTGCAGCAGCTCTCTTAACTTTACACCTCCCTTCCTGTTTATTTCATTTACTGTGGTAACTGTAGTAAATACTAGAGAAGTGACATTAGCAACTAATAACTAATTTTACAGAAAGTAGAACCAGCTTATGACCAATGGCAAACAGCTCCTAAGTTCCTTGCCTGAACTAGGTCCAAGCTCTTCGTAGTTAAGTCTCAGCTTATCAAGCTACTTCTGTGAAATCTAAAGCTAGCTAGCTTTGATCTTATTTAAGGAAAAGCTAGATTTTAGTCTCCTGATAGAGTATGTATAACAATTTGTCTACCTTATCTAGATAGCATTACAACTTAGAACTGATGCAGATATCCAAGGCCCTTCACCAAGGTCCTTGAACTTAGAACTTTTCAGGCAAGACCTGTATATTTTCCGTTAAAGAAAGAAACTGTACGTTTGCAAAAGTGAGTGTACACTTAACTGTGCATTTGCTAAAAAGCACAATTTGTCAGACTTTTCCCTGAATAGAAAGGATAGAGGAAGCTCTGAATAGTAACAAGATGACCTAAACAGGAACCTGACAAACGTCTCTTTAGGAAAAGGCTGATAACATCTATAAATACTGAGTTACATGGCTAAGTTCAAATAACCCTTGAAGACAGATTCAAGTCCCAAGTTTTAGACCCAGATTCAAGAAGATGCAGCCAACATCACAACAGTTAAAACCTAATAAGGAGCTGCATTTGCACCACACAGTAAAACCAATCCACTCAAACACTTAAATCTTATTCACGGAGGGGAAAAAAAAGTCTGTAGTACACTGGATCATAATCATGGACTTGCATTTTCTGAGCCTGACAATTTAATTCTGCTCACGTGCTGGAGAAATCAATCCATCAATTTTTGAAGCTCTAGAAAAAGACAGCCTTCAATTTGACTCTGGACCTTGTTTTAAAGACCACTATTCTGACAATGCCCAGAAGAACCTGGTTAAGTAGTCCCTCTCTCTCATTTTTCTCAAAGCACTAACTAAAAGGAATATTTGGTAAAAGCTTTTTAAAGTATCTACAATATGGTCAGCTGAGGTGTGATCTCCCACTGAAATTATTTAACACTTTTTTTTTTCCCCCAAGGATTGCTTTAAGCCAGTCAGAGGGATTGTCTTATGATTAGGCACAGGACAGAGTCAGGAGACCTGGTTCTATTCTCATCTCTGCCACAAGCTTCCTGTATGACTCTGGACAGCTCACGGCCCTTATCTATAAATTAGGATAATGCTTCCGTAGTCTCAGCATCTCTCTAAGTTAACTCACTTGCAAAGCATGCCAGCATCACTGCATGGAAGTACCAACTGCTGAAATGAGTAATACTTCTGAAATGCAGCCATTTGGTTCCACCCAAGTGATAAAAATCAAAATGTATTTTAGATAGCATCCTTTCATTATGTCCCTGTTTCAGCATGAATTCAGAGCCCTGGGGAAACGCAAGCTGTGGAACATGCCAGTCAGAAAGGTTACTTCATTCATCTAGACTCTTCCATACCTGTCTTCCATTTGAAGCTGATTCATACACTGCAGAAGGTTTCCTGCCATTTTAATCACACAGCCAACCAATTCAATGTGTTTTACAGATATTCCAGCAACTGCATGTTAACAGTTCTATGGCTGATAAGAATTCTGCAATGTAACTTTAAGGAGATAAAATGTGTTAAAACTCTAAATCATCATTTTAGTCCACTGGGTTAATAGCTATAGAAAACATACAGCCCTCTGCAATTTACAGGGTGCTGAATCTCAGTCGTCCTAGTGAGTGTCAGAGGTGGGGTTGCAGAACCACAGATTAAATGTTGCTTTTCATTAAATGATGGTAGCCTGTCTCCACCTGACTGTGCCAGCTCTCAGGACTGTACAGAATGTGGAGAGCTCTAAACTCCACAGACGCTCATTCTTGAGCCACGCTGAACCTCACTGTAGCACAGGATCTTGTCTAGGTTATCCATGTTGCTTTCAGTTGCATTTGAAAACAAACCCTGCAAATGGTCTGAGGGTGAATGGATATTAAATAGTGAAGCATTCAGTGCTATCATGATGGGAACCATCAATAACTTTGACTGGAAAAGGAAGTTAGAAAGATTAAGATTGCACACAAAATCCGCAAAGTAATTGTCAGTTGTGTTTTCAAAAGCAGCATAATGAAAAGTTGGCGCATGTCAGCACAGACACAGGAATCCTGCTGCCAATGTCACTTTCAATTCAGTAGTTACAGAACTAAAGCTCCCCATCAACACTTCACACTATGCAAGTATAGGCTCAATATTTTGCTTATAAGCTAGACCTTGTGTGTTGATGTGTTTTAATGTTTAACACAGCAATACTAAGTATCCTTGGCTTAAGAAAAGTGCAATGGTCGTTACCTAGTGAAAGAAGTAGCCTAATTTCCTAATTAAGAAAGTTCTCCTACTAGCACATTTTGGCCTACTTGTTTCAACTTTCCTTTGAAGATGAAAAAAAGTTAATTGTAACCTAATTGTTCCAAGCTCAAGAGAAATACTGTAAGTCAGTTACATAATTATGGTGAATGGATATTTATTTTGTCAAAACATTCCAGTGACAGGTTCACTCTGTACTAGCAAACATCCATGTGTATGTCTGATATATCATTAATGGGTACACTACTTAATACTGTATGTAGTGTACAAATAGAACTATGTTGGCATGGTTCTAGAAAAAAAACTTCAGTAGTGTAAAAAATTTTGCTGTAAAAATGTAGCGAGGTTCCTGTTTAAAAATAAATCTTCAGATTCCATAACATTGTGAAGCTAAGTCTGGAGATGAGCTCTAGGACAAGTACTGCCTTCAAAGTGGTCTATGACACTTATTATAGTGTTTGGAATGTATTTAAGAACCATTTTTTTAAATACATGGCAGACCTAAGTCTAGTGGCTGCTATTAGTTTATCTGCTGACTATGCTGGACACAAAGAATGTGGTTGTGTAGAAGTTGGCCATCAGTCAACTACTTTGGATCTAAAGAAATACCCAACTACTAAGAGATAAGGTCCTTTAAGGTAACACAGACCAGGTGTGAGTCTGCTGGGCTCTGCACACATCACGTGCTGGCTCCAGCATGCCAGTTTAACCATTCAGTACATAATCCTGCAATGCAGTGCTCTAGTCCCACTGAATACAGGACAGTGCCCCTGGTCCTTCATAATTCCTTCCTCTAGGGCACCAGAAAGGAAGGAAATTGCTTTTTGGCTAAAAGCACGCATAAAGAAGTAGATCTGGGTTGTTGGGTTTAGTGGTTGTTGCTTGGGGTGGTGGCTTTTTTTTTTTTTGAAGGGGTGTGAGTGTGTGTTACTTTTTTTTTTTTCTTGTAGGTGTTTTCTTGGTCTTGGTTGGTTCGTTTTATTTTCACTTTGGTTTATTTTTTTTTTTTTTAAGCACAGTATCCTTGAAAATGCTACCCACATTAGTAGTAAAGTAAGTTAGCTGTAGTGAGGAACTGCAGACTTCATTCATTAAACACATTAAATCTGAACTGCCAAACTCACTCAACTGACAAGAGTATATGTAAATCTTAGAAATACATGTAACTTACTGTAGGCTTTACTGATTGTTCTCTGGTGCAGGGAAGTGCCCAAAGTTGCATGTATATACCAACTGTACGCTTTGAGCCGGTAGCTATACTTAAAACTTTTATTTTAGCCTACAAACAGATTACTATTTAATTTTTTATTTTAGAGAATAAAAGTACAGCACATGCAGTAGGACAAAGTCAACAATTAGACATTAGTGACTTCAATAATACTAATATGAATGCTAAATAATTTTAGCCTAGCAAGGTCCAGATTGTAATAAAGGTCACATTAACTAGTATAGTTACAGGAACAACATTGTAGCTGCCCTTAAACTGCCACACTTTAAATACTATTTGAAAGTTAAAACACTCCATCATCATCCAACCAAACAGATCTTGTTTCAGATTTTCAGTAGAATATTCACTTCTTTTACAAGTTACATTTTTCATGTAAGAAAAAAACAATTATACCTTACAAACAAACTTCTCTGTAGCAGGCTGTGAATCTTTTATCTTTTTTAAAGCAAACTTCTGATAACTTATGTGAACAATAGCATGCCACAGAAAAACTGGACTTGCAAGCAGAGACCTTGTCCTATTTTCATGATGAACCCAGAAGAATGAGATCCCTCCACTTAATAGAAAGTTGAGCAGATTACTACACAATAGCTTTATTTACTCCAGATGGTATTCTATTCCTTTTAAGTATTGTCTGTGCTGACCACACAAAGCTACAGCCAGAATATGGGTATTTCGCTCAGTTTAAATGGCATTACACAGCCAAGCACTGTATAATTATATTAACAAGATGTTCTACCTGTACAAGCTGAACTGTGATTTAGAGTAGGCTTATACTAAGGTTGAGTACTGCCAAATATTATTATTCTGAAAGAAAACCATTAACTTATTTCTCCAAAACATTCCCATAACCTGTTCTTTCTCTATCACTAGCTACACTTTTAGTGCTCTTACAAAACAGAAGCTTCAAATGATCCAGGTCATTTAGCAACAAGTAGAGCCTTGACACAGCTGGGCTTAAATACATCCTCGGGGCCCAGGAGGCATTAGGTAAGCTGAAGGAAGACCATGAAAACAAGCTGGATTTTTATTTAAGAGCAGTACATGTCACAAAAAAGTACTGCTATAATGACATTGCTAAAGTTCCCCATGCATGAATAGATATGGAGAAGCTGCAATTGCTCTTTTAATGAAAATGTAGACCAGTTCCTAGAATCCTCTTTCTGAAGGCTCGGTATGGCCAAGGTGCACTTGCAAAGAAAGTAAGACTACATAGGAAGACAAAAACACCCCAGTGGTGAGAGACAAAGACATGAGGCAGTAAGTGATCAGAAGTCAGTGGAAGAAAAGAATCTCTCAAACAGAACTTCAGCGATTTGAAGGTTCAAAACAACTCAAACCTACATGTTGGTTAGAGGATTAATCTTATTGGTATCCAAGAGTAGCTAGAATGAAGGATTAACTAGGTCACTAAAGAGCAAGTCAGAAAAATCTAACTGTGATGGCCATCCTTCCAAGTGGTTCTGCTACACTGCAGCAAAACCAGTTCCCTGAAGTAGTTCCATGACACATTGATAACATAACAAAATCAATCACTCGCTTTGTTTTCAGAAGTATGAGTCGTTTTGGCAGGGATCTTCTGTACAGTGCAGTTGGCAGTGAATTTATACTTTGCTCTGTAATAATTTTCACACACTGTTCAGCAATAACAAAATACTAGATTTCATAAGACTCAAGGAAAACCCAGTGATACATATTTAACTTTTAACCACCTAAAGTAATCACCTGTAGGTTTTACAAATACAGGAGGAAACACTTAGGGCAACTATGATGAATAACAGGAAGTTACAAATATAACCCTTCAAATTTTAGTCAAAAGTATCAGCTATCGGTAACAGCTTTAACATGCAACCAGAAAAGTTCAAAAGTATTTTTAAAACCACTATCATTTACCTTGCTAAAATGCTGCTGCATCCTTTGCTTGTTTCCTTGCATTTAGCCTTGAAGTATTGTAGCATGCTCAAATTTAATCTTTGAGACTAGCTTTCTTCAGGTGAGACGTTTCTGAACTATGGGTTAACTAGCCTTCAGTATCATTTGAAAGGTAAAAGTAACAGCCTCAGTGTTCTGGATGTAGCTTTAAAAACTTCTTTCAATCACCATTTAACACAGATAAAACTAGAATTGTAACGTGAATTATTTACTATTTAAAGAATGAAGCTCTAAAGTTCTAAAGACATCCCAAATAAAAATAAAATTAAAAAAAAATGCTTTGGTAAGCACAGGAACTTATTAAAGGTTCAACGTAAGTTTAGAGGCTATGTTACAGCCTTTCATCTTGCCAATTTAGGTCTTGAGGTTTTTCAAATTCCACTTTTGAACACCAAAGAGGGACTAGAGTATATCTGATATTTTAACCCAGACTTTAGCTCTCAGCAACAGATATTCAAGTGCATCTCATACTGCAGCTGAGGATCGGAAAGATTACGTTCATCAGCAGCCCTTACCTTTCTCTGAAGGATGCCACTGCCAGTTCTCAACCTGGAATACTATAATGATTAATGAAACATCCTTCCCACTAGCACTTAGCTCCACAGCAGGCTGTATACACTGCCCTACCCTTGTAACATATTTGTATTGCTGAACAGGCAAGAAGAAAGGGTAAATACAGGTCCTGAAGTAACTTGGTCACTTTTCTCAAAGGAAGTGGTAGGGATGAAGCAATTTCTGTAGATCTATCTTCAGAATGTAACCCAGCTTCTTTTCAGTCCCTCAACATAGATAAGCAGACTCCATCCACACCAACTTTGTCACTAAAAATTTTTCATTTCTTATTTAACAAAAGAGTTGAAAACCATAAGACCTGAGAGGAAAAACTTACCTCTAATGCCAGCGCAGTCTTGTCATAAGCACAGGGTACTCTCTTTTGGATAGCTTTGGCATAGACTGGTCCATTCTGTGTGGATGGCAGAGGATTGATCACTGCTCCAGGTGTACTGGGTACTGAGGGAAGAGGACTCGCGGTCTGAGGCTGAGCATAAGCATGGGCAGGTTCTGGAATACCGTAACTGTTGGAATTCCTGTTTCCATGCTTCCCATGAGAAGATCTGACTAGCTTTTCTACATATGGAACAGGAATCATCCCAATCCTACCATCCTTGTTTCTGGCACTCCACCACTGTTCTTCTGGCTTCTCTACAATTACCAGTATCTCGCCCTTTTTAAATGGAAGATCCTCAGCATCATTGCCAGGAAAGTCATAGAGAGTCCGAACATACTCCACATTTTCTTCTGCAGTGGACATAGCAGGGGCAGATCCAGATCCCATTGGTGGACTTGGATACCTAAATTAAAAAAAAAAAAATCGATATAAGCAATAACTATTGTTTTGTATTTCCAGTGACAAAGCTAAGTACAAGTTTTACAGTAGGAACACCAATTAGAGGAGAACTACTTACTCAGCTTTGTACTAAGAATTGGCTTAGTAGCACTGTGAAACATTTAATGAGTAACTCATGCTCTCAAGTAATTACTTAAATACCCAAATTAGCTTCCCCAGAAACCAAATAAAAATTCATCATGGATGCAGCAAACTAGGAGAAATAATGCAAAATCTTCATCCACCTGTACTGGACTGTTGTGAGGCTCTGGGGGTAGAAGAAAATTAATTCTATAGCTGGAGTTATGGGTTGTGATACATAAAAACAAACTAAAATTATTTGGACAAGTTGGGGTGGAGGGGCTCTTGGAGAGCTCAATAATCCTCTTCAGTTCATCACATTTACATTTTTAACTTCAGCAACTGTTTCAAAATAATTCAGTAATTAAATGCTAGACTTGAGGGAGCATAGTGAAAGCAGGGAACAACAGTAGGAAGAGGGTATGATAAACACAGTCTTTCTGATTGGCAGTGCAGCATCTTTCTAACTGAATCCTACTACTTACGTTCAGAATTTTGGGGCCAGTTAGTCACATTTATGCTGAATGCTCCTTTTTGTAATAAAAGATAGGCAGATCCTGTGGTTTTTAGGAGATAACACTTCTACCATTTTTTCTAAAAAGTACTATGAAATTAACCTCCTATACCTTGTTTTTACAACTTCAGCTCTCAAAGGGTTGTTATATTACAACAGAAAAACTCTTAGTTTTGGATTACTTACCTATACTGCATATTTAAATAGCTAATAACCTAAAAGGACATCTCCATAAAAGACAATATGGAATACTCGCACCCACTGCTAAGACTGGAGTGAGAAAGGAGAAAGCTAACACCTACCAACACTCCTTTCGCTATTAACCATATTATCTTTAATTTATTTACATCGTTATTACTACGCCTGTCATCTGACTCAGTCACTTCATTGTCTGTGATAATACATAAGACTGTTCATCAAATAAGACTATTTTCACTGCAGTCTATTTTCATAATAAATTTTGTTTTATTCAAAGCTGTCAGAAATCTTCACATATATAGGCCAGAGCAGGTATTTATTATCTAAGCTAGAATAGCAAGAATGCATGTCATTAGCCTACTTCAGTTCTCTTTTTGCTACTTGCAAAGTAAGATGGAAGTCAAATCCCTGTGATTTTGGCAAGATATGCCAGAAGCCCTGAACAGAAAGACAAATGCTTCTCAGAGACATCCTGCTGCAGCCAAAGCCAGGTGGAGAGGGGAACCTTTTAAAGAGCAGTCACTCTGCATAATCTAGAGCTCAGGAACATCTGCAATGATGGTCAGAATTCAACACTGCCACACAACAAATAGAAAGCTTAGGACAGTCAGTTTTCAACTGTTTTACAAGTTTAAAATGCCATCTTTGAGAGCTAAAAAGTGTTGTGTACCTATATACAACGAACCACTTAATTACACCAGGAACCACATCTTCATACTATATATTACGAAATTAGAATAAGTAACGGCCTTCAGAAGCACAAGCATCTGAGCGTGATGTTCCCCTGAAAATGCCAGGGAAATAAGAATTACCAATAGTAGTTCTGAAGCATGTACCCGTCCACCCTGGTCCTAAATCTAGTCCATTAACAAAAAATAAATTTAAAAAAAAAAGTGCTACCTCTACCTCTCATCCTCCCTCTTGCAGAAGGAAGTTTTGTTCAAACAGAATTTCAAACCATCAACCATGTCATTAATTTCTCTGAGAGTCTGGAACAAAAACCATGCTCAGGAAAACCACCTAGTCAATTCCATTGGGTGCTTTATGACAAAGCTTCCCAGCTCACAGCAGGCTAGGTCCCATCTGCCTCTCTATGCCAGATAACCATATGCAAGCAAAACCTTGAAAATAAGGTGGTACTTAAATGTTCATAGAATGTTTCATACAAGATTCCTAACAAACATCAACTGTCCAGGTGGAATCGACTAACTTTTTTGAGAGAGTCAAGTCAGTCATTGCCAAGAATGATTAAGAACAGAATTGTACATCCAGAAAGGCACAGCAGTATCCAGGCTAAGGGGAACAGAGATAAGCATGAAGACTGCTTCAGTGCAAACTTTTTTCCTCCCAACTGTCCCCAAGTTTAAGCACACACATAACACTGGGCAGTTCTATTTAAGCATCCCTGCAATGGTAAAAGCAATTTCTTTTTTTCCACCTACCCCTCTCTCTAGCCATTGCACAATCACTACCAAGACTTCTTAGCAACTTCTAGAGTTCTTGAAGCTAGTGCTTTCTGTCACATCCCTCCCATCCCCTGAGAGCTTTACAGAAGACTTTTTTTGACCACTTGACTCTTTTCAACCTGATAAGCGACTGTCAACCTTTGACAAGCTGTCATTACGAACGGGCCTATGCCAAGGTTAAATTGTGACTATAAACCTCAAAGTTATTCTTCCCCCCTAAGGATTTGCTAATCCACAAAACAGTAAAGTTTTTAACTGCAGAATTTAGAAGTAAATCAATCTGAATTTCTTTTTTTAACATGCCACTACTCTTCTAGATTTTATTTCACTTTCTCCTATCCAGGAATCCCAAAAGCTTTGAAATAAGATATTGGGAAAGGCTTTATTAATTAAAAATAAGGAATATGTTCTAGAGTTCTTGATAAGCAGTTTACTGATGGAAGTTGCAGGTATGTCCCATGTTGGGAACAGGACAAAGAATGAGCTCATAGCCAAGTCACATTTTCCCAGCCTCCTAGAATATAATTTTTCAGTGTACTGCATGAAGAGTGCAGATATAGATGAAAAGTGCCATAACCAAACTGTGAGAATAGATGTTTTACATTTTATGGGGGTGCAAATGCCACTCCACGGGTCTGGGAAATGCTGTCCTAGAATGTACTAAAGCTGACTTAAGAGTGAAAGTCTAATCACATAAAGGCCTATTCTATTGTAATCAGTGTGGATGGCAGGGGTAGACAGCAATTTAAGCTCCAATCACTGAGAAGACTTGTGAACCAGCTTCCCCACCATCCTAGGAACACAAGGACAATACCAGGAGAAAAGGTTGACACAAAGCACAACCACACCCTCTTGCAAGGCAATTATAGCCAATGGTAGAGATGTGCATGGTACCTTTACGTAAGCCTGCATGCCCTGTAAGGACAGGCACCATACATTATATGGATATCTGACTGAGAGAGCAACCTGTAATAGTTACTGAGATCCAGAGTGCCAAGCAGGACCACTCTTAGAAAGAACTTCAAACACGGGCCATAAAGAGATGTTTCCTTAATATACATAGCATGGCCCTACATCCAATGCCAAAATCCTAGAGCTGGACTAAGACACCCTGCTCCTAGCACCACCTCGAGGAAAGATGGCAGGGGGTGGGGCGAGGGGAGGGTGGCACTCACCTGGGCGCAGGCTCGATGAGGGTGGTGGTGTCCAGGTAGTGGATCTTGTAGAACTCCAGCAGGGCAGGCAGATGCTCAAACTCCTGGTCGCCGATTTTAAAGCGGCGGTTGGGCAAGGAGTTAATGATGTAGTGGGAAACCCGGGAGTTCTCGGACACCGAGAGCACGTAGTCGCCCGGGCAGGTGGACGAGTCCCGCACCAAGAACATGCCATGCCGCTGCCCCTGCAACCGCGTCTGCGCCTCAGCCCGAGAGACCGGGCCCACGTACCAGCTGGAGCGGTCCGACGAATCGAAACGAGCGGCGGAGGACATTGCTCCGGGCGGGGAAGGGGAAGGGAGGGGGGGAAGGAAGGTGAAGAGCCCGAAGGCCCAGGCGGAGTAGCAGATCCGGAGAAGGGAAGGCCTGGGAGGCGGAGCGGGCTGGTAGCCAGGAGGAAGCGGCTAGCGCCCAGCCCAGAAGATAGGAAGCTCAGGGAAAGGGGGATAAGGGAGAAGGAAGATCCGCGCCTCCGCAGGCGAAGGACCGAGGAGCGGC